GTCCGTGCTAATGTCTGTTTGTCTGTCAACAGTAGCGAAAGAGTGTGCTAGGGCGAAGTTCTGAAATTGGCGCGACAAAAAAACCCACACATCTAGTCTAATATAGTCAAATAGTCTGTAAGTTAGCCAGTGTCATCTTTCATTTCTCTTTTTATTTTCAATGATTTTGCTAATGAGAGGGAGAGGACAAAAACAGACTTTCCTTTCTAAAGCGTCGTAAAAGGTTATTTCGAACAATTTTTGATTCCGACGGATGGTGTTTCTGAAGGTTAGTTTTGTGCGGCAACAACATCATGAGATCTGAAACTGATACATGCATGTGATCTCTTTTATTACCGGATAATAAAGTAGGTGAATATAGTTGTTATTCTTGATTCTTGAAAATTTAAATGTGGGTTTCAAACGTCCAATTTGCATTTTTTTTCAAACAGTGCGCCAGCAAGGAAAACTTGTACTATGACGTCAGATTCAATGTTCTGAAGAAAGACAACTCTTTTCTTCAAAACGAACTAGAAAAAAACATGAAAATTAATCATAACTTTTTTGAAAGGTCGGTGACATATACATTTTTTTGCTTTATTTTGAAGATTACACATGGCACTTTCCTTCTTGAAATTTTTATGAAAAAATCACTGGTAGATATATTTTAATACTTGAAACGTTTTTCATTCTTGCGTTTTATTTTTTGCGGGAATGAAATAAATCATATTTTTTAAGATCAAAACAATAATAGTCTTAAACTCTTGAACCTGTATTTGATAGACACAATTAAATCTACTGTTTAACATGAAACAAGAATTATGCTTGTAGGTTTGATATAATGGGATTTTTTGAGAGTTTAAATAACAAGCAAATATCATGTTAATATGCGGGAAAACACGAAACTGAGGTTGCTATAGTGACAAAACTAAGTCGGTGACCCCCAATTTTTTTTATCATATTTTGTTCCTCAAATCATGAAATACCTTCACACAAAATTTTAAGGAAAAATCACTGGTAGAACTGAATAGGCTGTTTGGTCTTTAACAGTACACACGACACGCTGATTACGGTAATCCGATTAACCACAATCGTTAATATACAAAACCATTTGTGTGTATTTCATATCTGGTATTTATAAAGAAATTGGTTACTTTCAGGCTGGTGAAAAGGGATTTAATTACCTACGATTTGCAGTAAAAGAGAAAAGGGAATGCTACCCACAATCACTGAAGCTGAGTACAGCGAAGAGAAGTTGGCGGCACACTTGGACCATGCTACATCTAAACTGCTGTTGGAACGATACAATATGAACGAAAATGGTTAGAGATTCTTGGTCCTATACAGAAAATACTGGGAATCTATATTTATAATAACATTTTAGTTTTAAAATATATAATATAAGAAAAAGCGATAGCTGGTTCATATGAAGCATTTGAATTCACTGTCTCGTTTGTCATATGGGCGTTTTTTCAATAAAAGTGTGAATTTCAGACCTAAAAAATATGGAAAATCAACTTGTCTAAAATTTTATTTCAAGAGTTAGTTTGAATACCTCTATTATAGACCTGTTTGTAAATAAAACGTGCAATCTTAGATACTCTTTAAAATGATATTATTTTCATAATTTATGTACTGTTTCGTAGGGGACATTTGTCCACTTCGAAACTGCTTCTAAACGCACATCTTATTGCATTTTAATGTCTCCTATAGACATTCCAGTTTGTTTTACTTTATATCCTATAAAGATCTCATTTTTTTCTGAATTGGAGAACCATTTTTTATCGATAAAGATTAGACAGTTCTTCACATATGAAGGTACAACTCATGTTACGTAGTGGACATTTTGATGAGTTTCGTAGTTGACAAAACCGTTTCGTAGTGGACAAAAAGTTTCGTAGTTGACATCAACCCTATTCTATGTTGATAAAAACATACTGAAAATTACATGAAACTAACCCTTGTTAATTGTTTTGCACGAATATAATTGAAAAAAGAGTAAAAAACGACTGCATGGTAGTGGTAGTGTCCACTACGAAACGTTTTTCTCCCATACTTGTTTCGTAGGGGACCGTTTCGTAGTGGACATATTCACATGTTTTATTTTTTTCCCACAATCCCTATACTGCAATAGTAACAAGAATGATTCTATTCATCAAAGCACGTACTAAGCTGTACACTGATATTTTTTCATAATTTTAAAACCAGATGCTGAAGGAGATTTGACCCGTTTCGTAGTGGACATTAACAAAAATACGGTATCACTCTGGTCCATTTGATGTGCTCAATTTTTTTTGCCAACAATTTAACTGCCGTTATAAAGGCATCACTTCTTTTGTAAGACCCTAATGTTTATATCTCTTGCAAACATTGATTTTATAAAACTGTTTATTAGCAAAATTTAATGACTTCGTTTCGTAGTGGACATTTTGTCAGGAATGTCAAGGGACACACCTTCTAAAATTAAAAATCCTTTGTCAAAAACTGTTTAACAAAATATGTTGGCTCTAAACATACTTTTGAATAATTAAAGAACTTATATTAAGTAAAAATAACATTTATTTCTACCTTTTTTACAATATTTTAGAGTATGAATGTTGAACAGGAGGTCTAGGGACATGCCATTTTGGTTATTTTGAACCATTCAGGAATCAATATCTTATTAATCCCTCTAAAAATAGTATGTTTCTTTGCTTACAAATGTTCAATCTAATTCAATGTATTAACTGCACACAAAATTACTTGTGTAGATCAAACACATTTTTTTTAAAGTGGCTGGGACAAGAAATCACGTTTTTATTGAAAAACGCCCATATAATAAAAGACAGCAAAATAACTGGACAATAGTGAAGTCACATGCTTTCTAAACTTTTAGTCTATCTCGAGGAGTTGGCTTTCGAATTATACTGCGTATATGTAAATAAGGGGAATTTCTTTACACTATATATCTATAAATATAAAAAAGATGTGTTGTGAATGCCAATGAACCAACTATTCACAAGAGACCAAATGACACAGAAATTAACAACTATAGGTCATCGTACGGCCTTCAACAATGAGCAAAGCCCTGTATTTTTTACAGCTGAAAGTCTCGCCGTAAGTAAACACTACACCCGGGACACTACATAAGGAATCTGAGCCTCAGATCTGAGCTCCGAGCAAAGGTGATATGTTCGCGATTATGGGAAAAGGTTACATTTTAACCTACGCAATAAATGAAAAGGTATACATTTTTAAAATCTAAACTATATGACTGAAAGGATGGGTTACAGAACCCCAGCGGCACTCCCTATGAATTAAGTATTGAAGTGCCCCCATTTGTTCTACTATATATGGACATATATAAAGAATTCAAGAATTTTATCCGAACTATTGAGGCATAATTCGCTAATATCATGCAATTCCCAGTTCGATATCTATCCTTTTAATGTTTGAATGAATGAATACTTTATTGCAAAAAGCATATATGGGCGTTTTTCAATAACAGTGTGAATTTCAGACCTAAAAAAAAATGGAAAATCAACTTGTCTAAAATTTTATTTCGAGAGTTATTTTTGAATACCTCTATTATAGACCTGTTTGTAAATAAAACGTGCAATCTTAAATACTCTTTAAAATGATATTATTTTCATAATGTATGTACTGTTTCGTAGGGGACATTTGTCCACTACGAAACTGCTTCTAAACGAACAGCTTATTGCATTTTAATGTCTCCTATAGACATTCCAGTTTGTTTTACTTTATATACTATAAAGATCTCATTTTTTTCTGAATTGGAGAACCATTTTTTATCGATAAAGATTAGACAGTACTTCACATATGAAGGTACAACTCATGTTACGTAGTGGACATTTTGATGAGTTTCGTAGTTGACAAAACCGTTTCGTAGTGAACAAAAAGTTTCGTAGTTGACATCAACCCTATCCTATGTTGATAAAAACATACTGAAAATTACATAAAACTAACCCTTGTTATTTGTTTTGCACGAATATAATTGAAAAAAGAGTAAAAAACGACTGCATTGTAGTGGTAGTGTCCACTACGAAACGTTTTTCTCCCATACTTGTTTCGTATGGGACCGTTTTGTAGTGGACATATTCACATGTTTTATTTTTTCCCCACAATCCCTATATTGCAATAGTAACAAGAATGATTCTATTCATCAAAGCACGTACTAAGCTGTACACTGATATTTTTTTCATAATGTTAAAACCAGATACTGAAGGAGATTTGACCCGTTTCGTAGTGGACATTAACAAAAATACGGTATCACTCTGGTCCATTTGATGTGCTCAAAATTTTTTGCTAACAATTTAACTGCCGTTTTAAAAGCATCACTTCTTTTGTAAGACCCTAATGTGTGTATCTCTTGCAAACATTGATTTTATAAAACTGTTTATTAGCAAAATTTCATGACTTCGTTTCGTAGTGGACATTTTGTGAGGAATGTCAGGGACTCACCTTCTAAGATTTAAAATTCTTTGTAAAAAGCTGTTTATCAAAATATGTTGGCTCTAAACATACTTTTGAATAATTAAAGAACTTATATTATGTAAAAATAAAATTTATTTCTACCTTTTATTACAACATTTTAGAGTATGAATGTTGAACAGGGGGTCCAGGGACATGCCATTTTTATTATTTTGGACGGCCATTCAGGAATCAATATCTTATTAATCCCTCTAAAAATAGTATGTTTCTTCGCTTAAAAATGTTAAATCTAATTCAATGTACTGACTGCACAAAAAATTACTTGTAAAGATCAAACACATTTTTTTAAAAGTGGCTGGGACAAGAATTCACGTTTTTAATGCTTTTTATGTATTGGTCTCTGCTGTTTATCATTTGTCATGTTGTAAATATGTTTTCGTTGCTATAGAGACCAATACATAAAAAGCATTATAAGAAAAACAAATAACATTAAGTAACAATATAAATATTAAAAATACCGCTTTAATAAACTCACAATAGTTAATTTTATTCTTGTCCAATCAAAACGTGATACCTGTACTTCCGGTTATACTTTCACTTTTGTTTTGAGAAGAGAAAAGCGAGTAGCAGGTGTTTGTTAATCATTATCAGATTATGTACAGACGACAGGTGAGTGAACAATTATTATGAAGTTAGAAATCTGATTATTTGTACTACATATTAAAGATATGAGGATTTTCTTGTATGGTAAAATCTTGTAACAATTGAATTGTAAAGGAATGTTGAAGTCCTTTGCTAATTATTATTTTATGATCTTTTATTCTACACAAAAAGTGACAAATTTAAACTTTGAAAAGTACACATCACGATTTTGATTCAGAATTTTTGCCTTTTTCTTGTTTATCACTTATTGTATTAAAACAAAAGGAGTAAGAAACGAAAGTAACAATCAAAACTCATATGTCGAAGATAGACAGACAATACCATCATGACCATGGCAAAAAACAACGAAAAAGCAAACAACACAAAATACGACATTGGAAATTGAAAACTGAGCAACAAGAACCCACAGAAAATAGGGAGAGGGTCGATCTCAGGTGCTCTGGAAGGGTTAGCAGATCCTGCTCCCAGAGTTACTCATGGTCATGATGGTAAGTACAAGTTATGTCATACATCTTATTCAGGAATTCTAGTCACTTTCGTACCTTGTTAAATAGGCACTTGATCAAATTGACACCCTATTAATCTGTTAGGTACATAGACAAATCAGTACAAGTTGTATTTATTTTGGCACACATGGTCAATATGATGCTTTGCAAGTTATATGTCAAGTTTTTTTCATATTTGTTTCCAAGTGAGTGAATAGTGATATACAGTGGAGTCCCCTGTGTTTTGCACGGCCGCTGATTTCGCGCTTTACCTGATTTCGTCATATCGGCTATGAAAGTAACACAAACAGAATTGTTCTTGTAATTGTTGTAATGTTCGGAAAGGACAGAAAATATTAAAATTGAAAAGTTCAAGCATAAATTTATAATTGCAATCCCATGTTCTACCATATTTAGCCATTTTCCATAAAAAAAATTACATCATCAGATAAAATTGGTTTCATTTAACATGTTTTAAGTCAAATTTTATCAAAATGAAATAAATTAAGCTCCTCATCCTTGGCAGTCTGTTTGGTTCAACCTGAACTATATTTCGTAGTATAAAATCATTCCTTTATTCAAAATAAGCTATTTTTAGAAGGGATGCACGAAATCACAGGACAATTGAAGAACTGTCAAAACAGGGGTTTCCCTAATTTTCGACAAGCATTACACAACATCTTAAAGGTGAAACCATACATAAAGAAGATTTCATGAAATTAAAGTATGATACACTGGACTGCACAGTATGTTATACATGTACATGATGTAAGGAACAAAGCATTTTTGTTTCACATATTTTTTTTTTTAATTCAACCACAGACATGCACCACCAGAAGAGAATAATGGGGCAAACAATAAAAAATCGAGAAATAGAGAAAAATATGCCAAAAAAATTAAAAAATGAGAATAACGGGGTGATAGAATAATATGGAATAGAGTATTATGGACAAAAATAAAGAATATAGAAAAATTGCCTTATATAGAAGTACAAAATGTAGTGTTATTAGGGGAAACAGATTAACGCTTTTGTTTTGTTTCTTTCTGTAATTGGTGTTTTTTATTGTTTATTTTGAGTTTAGGGGTAACTTTTTTGGTAGATTTTCATAAATGTATTGAAAAATTTTCTTGAAGAGGTAAAGGAAATTATATCTCAGTTATGACGAAATAAAGAAATGAATGAACGAACTAACGGAAGAACAAACAACTAAATTCGATACATACATGAAATATGGAAGATGATTTCAAAGGGAACATATGCTTATAAATATAAGCATGATGAAAGTAAAAAATAATATGCATAATCCAATTATAAAGGTGTGAAAATATATTTATATGATTAAATCAATTTTTTAATCTTTTGATGACCTCCAGATATTGTTTACATATTATTAATTATGTTCTGTTATAATTTATAGGTATCTTTATCTGATATACCTATAAGCTGTATTACTTCTGGTTTTGAAAAATAAACTAAAAAGTAATTGACAAATAAAACACAAGTTAGATTACAATTGAATTTGACAAAACTACTAAAACTATTAATAAACTTTGAATTAATATTAATTTCCAAAAGCATACATGTTGTAATGTTATTACACTACTGTTTCAGGTAAGGGTGAAGGTTGGCGCCTGTTAAAACGTTTAAACCCGCTGCATTTGTATGCACCTGTCCTAAGTCAGGAGCCTGTTGTTCAGTGGTTGTTGTTTGTTGGTGTGGTTCATAAGTGTTTCTCGTTTCTCGTACTTTATATAGATAAGATCGTTGGTTTTCCTGTTTGAATTGTTTAACACTAGTCATTTTTGGGCCTTTTATAGCTTGCTGTTCGGTGTGAGCCAAAGCTCTGTGTTGAAGGCCCTAATTTAACCTATAATTGTTTATTTTTTACACATTGTGACTTGGATGGATAGTTGTCTCATTGGCACTCATACCACATCTTCTTATTTATATGGCATCCTATGGCAATACACTTTAACAAGAAATGACTTTAACTGTACTAACCCTTGGTTCAGTACGTTCCTTGTTAGCCATGTTAGCATCTGCCCTCTTTTATGAAAATCATGATAGAAAACGCAAGCTTTGAAATATTTCAGAATAAGATAATTTATCTAAACAGAGATTTTATTTTGATTCAGAATTAGCAACTAGACGAGAGACTAGTTGTCTTATATCCATAAAAAAATATAATGTTAAACTATTTAGATGATTAAAATTTGATATATTTCAGTATCCAGACGCACCAGGTCCTGGTTCAAGCATGGGAGATAGTCATACACGTGTAACATACAGAAGAAATCCTAATTTCTTTGAGAGAATTGGTAACAGTTTAGTTGGAATTTTAGTAGGATTAGCCTTACTGGTCGTGGCTTCAGCTTTACTGTTTTGGAATGAGGTATGTGCAGACAAGTCCAGTAAGTAGATTCATCCTATAAGTTTGTGCATATCATTGACATAACTTTAAAGGAACAGAGCTGTCAGGTTATAGGACTAACAAAATTAAGGTATACATGTGGCCAGCAACGTTATGAACATAATATTCACTTTAAAACACATTGTGAAAAGTAATCAATTATTTGAACATTTTGTCAAATGATAAATATGATTTTATGTATCAGATAGATGCTGCTTATAATGTTGTACTGTGTTAGACAAAAGCCCACGTACAAGCCTATACCAATGGTTGATCCAGGATTATCAAATGATAGGGTGGAGGCATAGGGTTCTTTGACATGCTCATATATTTATCATAATGATGATTATTAGCTTGTATGTTACTTAACTGAAAGTTAACTTAAAAGTATGGAGATGTGATATGATTGCCAATGAAACAACTACCCACCAGAGCTCAAATGACGTGGATATAAGCAATTATTGGTCCCTGTATGACCTTCAACAAGGAGAAAAACCCATACTTTATTACTGTATTAACTTGTCTATTACTTAACTGAACTTGTCTGCTTAATTCAACAGAATATTGTAGTTATTTTTAACAAAAAAAGTGACACTCATAAGATTTGAAAAATTCTATATGCTAGCATTGTAGATATTATTTGATATACTCCACATGTGATTTTTTCAGGGTAGGGCTGTGCAAACAGCCAAATCATTAGACGAAGGGCTAAGTGTAGTTGTTTCCTTGGAAAATATAGATGTACCATTTAATCACAACAATGGAAAACTTGTTCACTTAGCTGGTCCTTTGAAAACAGAAAAGGTTAGTGAATATTTGGAAATATTAAGATACCAGTACTTGTTCATACTAATGTTAAAGTAGAGGTGTCTCCTGTGTATGCAATTGGCAAAATTGTGTGGTTCTTGGTTTTATCCAGCAACAGATAATTACTGGTAACGAATAAGGGTTAATTATCAGATTATTGATGACTTTTAGACACTATATAAATAGTGCCACTATGAACCCATCATTCTGCCTCTAATGAAGGTCCATGAAGGAACAAAACCGGTCAGTCTATGAATCATCACCAGACGCTGTTAATTGTTTGTTTTCGGCATAACCTACATGTATACTTTTTATGCCCCTGCCGTAGCAGCGGGGGCATTAAGTTTTACCCTTGTCCGTCCGTCTGTCTGTACGTCCCAAAGTTGGTTTCAGTTCTCTAACTTAAGTTTGCCTCAACCAAATTTTATGAAACTTATACACAATGCTTATTACCACAAAACACAGATCAAGTTTGAGTTTTGGTGGCATCACTTTAACCATTCTAGAGTTATGCTCCTTTACAAATGGAAAAATTGCTGAATTTTTCGTTTCCTTTCTCTAACTTTAGTTTGCCTTAACCAATTTTTATGAAACTTATACACAATGCTTACTACCACAAAATACAGATCAAGTTTGAATTTTGGTGGTGTCACTTTTACCTTTCTAGAGTTATGCCCATTTACAAATGGAAAAATCGCTGAATTTTTCGTTTCCGTTCTCTAACTTAAGTTAGCCTCAACCATATGTTATGAAACTTATACACAATGCTTATTACCACAAAATACAGATCAAGTATGAATTTTGGTGGTGTCACTTGTACTGTTCTAGAGTTATGCCCATTTACAAATGGAAAATTTGCTGAATTTTTCGTTTCCATTCTCTAACTTAAGTTTGCCTCAACCAAATGTTATAAAACTTATACACAATGCTTATTACCACAAAACTCAGATCAAGTACAAATTTGGGTAGCGTCACTTTTACCATTCTTCAGTTATGTCCTTTTATAACTTTATATGATATGCAAGCGGGGGCATCATCTGTGTTCCTTGGACACATTCCCCATTTATTTTTTGTTATTCTGGATTTAACTTGATGCACATTATACACATTTTTTTCTAAAAGAAATTCATCATAGGTAACAGAGGCCATATATTGGCAAAACTAAAAGCATCAAACATTGAAGAGCAATAAACTCAGAAACCAAGAAAAGCATATTTTATAGCAATGTGATATGTACCTCATTTTCATTTGGATGAAGTCAATTCCATGATTGACTAAGTTAGTCATTGGTAAAAATCTTGTACAATTGTAACTGACTTTTTCATTTATTTTGAATACCTTGAAGTATTGCATTAGAACAAGAATAAAGTACTGTGTTTGGAGCTCTGGTTCTTAAGTTCTGCCAGTTTTTGGAAATGTCTGATTTACTGGCTCTGCTCCTTATCATCAGTAAAATTGCAATTGGGACTGTTTTAAGATCTACAGTTGGCAGTGATAATTTTCCAAACACAATGCTTTTATCATGTTTTATCACTTAACTATTTATTGAGACTAACTGTTTTGAATGCTATTGATCTGTTAATCTTTTTGTAAAAAATTTTGGAGGTGTGTGATCAAATTGATGTAATTTGCTGTTTCAGTAAAGAATAAGGAGTAATTTTATTGAGTGTACATCTAATTAAAAACCAGCGGTAAAATATCTATAATTTAGAATGCTGTTACCCAATTAAGAAACTTCTTTTATATACCTTGTAGAACCAGAATGCATTAAATTTTGAAGCTTTGAATTAAGGCTATTAAGTTGTTTATCTAAAAACACTTTATAGATTTCATGCATTTCAAGCGCCTCTCTGGATTTACCTTAAACAGGATGAAAAGTAGAAACCTTCATCAGGAACTCTCAAAGCCTAATATTTGAAAGACAAGGATGTATAAAAATCGACAGTTAAACAATATTTTATTCAGATAAATCAATACATAGTATACAATTCTGATACGTGAAATAAATCGACACAGTTGAAGAGTCATATGACCAAGAGGGACCTAAAAATATTAGCGGAATATGTTACTTGTAGAATTCATTTAGTATTGCAATTTTGTTTTAACAGAGCCTATCAGATCCTACATATAATATAAGAGTAAAAGCTGTGAAGTTGAGGAGAACAGTTGAAATGTACCAATGGGTGGAGCATGAATCTAAAAGGTAATATTGAAGTTGAAAACATGAATCTAAAAGGTAATATTGAAGTTGAAAACATGAATCTAAAAGGTTATATTGAAGTTGAAAACATGAATCTAAAAAGTAATATTGAAGTTGATTCTGACTTTACAAAACCCTTCTATTTTTTAGTATGCATACAACACATTAAAAAGTAGCATTGAATAGATATAGGAAGATGTGATATGAGTGCCAATGAGACAACTCTCCATCCAAGTTACAATTTATAAAAGTAAACCATTATAGGTCAAGGTACGGCCTTCAACACAGAGCATTGGCTCACACCAAACAGCAAGCTATAAAGGGTCCCAAAAAATTACTAGTGTAAAACCATTCAAACGGAAAAACCAATGGTCTAATCTATATAAAAACGAGAAACACGTATGAACTACATAAACAGACGACAACTACTGTAATCAGATTCCTGACTTAGGACAGGTGCAAACGTTTGCAGCGGGAGTAAACGTTTTAATGATACCAAACCTTCTCCCTTTTCTGAAACAATAGTATAACATCACAACATAGAAAAACACAACATTGAATGTTTATTTTGTCTGATTAAGGACCAACATAAAAAGATTGTAATCCACAATTGTTTAAAAAAATGTTCTCTCAGGCTACAAAATTAGAGCTTGAAAATTAATCTATCAATAAACTCCCATTCAGTCTAACTCTTTCTGTTGCAACCTTCTCCACGATATAGCCTTTTTGTGCTGAGGCGGTGTAAAGCAAACACCAAGCAATCTGTTGTAACCAATATTAATTGCCAATGTACAACCAAATGTGCTGAATTTTAATCACATCAACAATCAATGGTATTTGTATGCCTGAAGTATTCATTTTTGTTGTTCCATTGTCTGTTATTACCTTTTCCATTTTTTCCAGTTACAACTTTATGCATACTGATATTTTCCAATTTCTTCAACTGTTGCTTCATTTTAAGTAGGAACTGCAAATCCTTCATGAATACTTATTTATTCTGAATTTGTAGTCAGTCTCTAATTATTTTATTTTTTTTTGCATTATGGTGTCTTTTGGACCTGTTTGTATATATGTTTTTGACTTGTATAGACATATTTAAACTTGTATGCAAATTTGTCCGCCATTACTTAAAATCACACACGTTCCCCGTAACATCTGACATCACAATATAAAAAATTTCATGTCATGATTAAAAAGTGATTGTTGCTTGACGTCAGAAGATTATTTGTAGACAGGTCTAAGGTCATTTGGTGACAAAATTCAGCTAAATACCAAAAGTGTAAATACGTTTATTAATACATCTTAAAATTACCTCCAAAGAGTATTGTTCTGTTACTCATGTTGTAACATATTTTGAAAAAAATACTAATTCCTACCCAAACTTATTTTCACTGACATTTAACAACATGGCTATCACTGAATTCAATTTTTTATTATGCCATGATATTAGATTCTTTCTTTAATCATGTTAATTTCTTAATGTTTCTGTTTAGGAGTTAGTGACTGATGTAACAGAAAGGATTGTCATTTCTGCTTTCCAAATCCTACCCACTTTTGTTAAATTTTACATTGACTAATAAATGTTTTTCGCATGTAAGTGGTAATTTTAATTTTTTGCCATATTTTGCAGAGAATACAATGAAGGAGGAGAAACCAGAGTTGAAAAAACATATTCCTATAGTAAGTTTGTAAAGAAATAGCTTCATAAGAGGGTTGTGGATGGAGGTTTACAAAATAGAGAATAATGGGCAAAAAATATAAAGAATAGAGAATAATGAGCAAAAAGTATAAAGAATAAAGAAAAATTACCTAAAAAATTAAAGAATACAGAAATGAAGGACTCCATCTAGACCCTCTCATAAGGTTTTATAAAACTAACTACCTTAGTTGTTAATTTCTTCCAATTATATTGATGCTAAGACATTCAGATAAGTAAATAGTGACCTTGTGATGACAGATTTTACAGACTTGTATTGTAGGGTTGCTCAATGCTATCTCTTTAATTTTTGCCCACACATTATAAGTTATCTATGTTCATATCCGTAGATATGGATATTTTAACACCCTGAAGTATCCAAGTACACCCTGAGGTGCAGCCGAAGGGTGTACAGGGTACTGAAGGGTGTTAAAATATCCATATCTATGGATATGAACGTAGATAACGAATTTATCCCGGGTCTTAGTCTAAATCTGGCAAATTTTAGAGAAATTCTACCACAAAGTTTAACGTGAAAGCAACGTTTTTTTCATTTTTTAAATATCTTTTGTTGAAATTTGGGAATTTGACATAATTTTAACGGGGTGTAGGGTACTACCTTTGGTAGAACCCTACAGGTAGACAAATATGAGGCGTTTTTAATCTAGAGACAGAGAAACTGAAATGGGTTGAATTTGGCGCTCAATGTTGTGAGAGTTACATCATAGACGGTGTGACGTCAACGTGGGTCATTTGCATAGCTAGGTCAGTAGTCCCATTCATTGACAATGTGGCAGCATAGTGATGCATTTACTAAAATGAGTGCAAATAATCGACATATAATAAGATAAAATCGTTAGTGGATTAAGTATCTAATTATACAGACATCATGGATAATATACATAATTCAATATTTCATAAGGAACAACCATGGAACTAAGGAAAACGCGCGTGAAGTTCACCGATGTAATGGGTAGCAACGTCCGGGGATATGGGTTAGCAACACCCAGGCGCTATGGGTTTTGTAATGACGTGCGTTAACCAATCAAAATCCTAGAAATATACTAAGCCGGGGATAATTCCTCTTATTCTTATAAACAAATATCAGAGACTGGCACTTTTGTATGGTGTTGGATGGTTTTTTTTTTTAAAATCTAGAAATCTATGTCAACAGCTGGTTTATCAATTTAGATAAATTTCATTGACTTTGGAATTCTTTGATTGGGTATTCCATCGCATTGTGTTTGTATTATATGGAAAGTTTGTTTCACAGAGATTTACAAAGGATTTTTAGGCTCTTTTGTTTCACATTTTATTTTATAGTGTAGTTGAATAAGATGCGATGGACAGGTTGAATAAAATGTTAAAAAAAAAACTTTTAAGTTGTTTGGATTTAAAAGGCAGATATGGAACAGATTCTTCATACTTTTCTATTGAGTACTGTCAGGAGTCGTGCATATATGCTCAGTGGGTCCTCTAGTTGAGTTATTTTCTCAATTAATATGGTATTTACAGTGTAGAAACACAGACAAATTGGTTACATTTTGATTTGTTTTTTTTCAGCTCAAGAATGGAGATCAGATTTAGTAAGAAGTCAGTCTTTTGATAACATGGTTGGACATAATAACCCAACGTAAGTTACATGTCACAAATATGTGAGCTCTGTATGAAAAAGTTATAATAATAATGAATAATATGATAGGTAGGGTTTACATTAATGACATTGCAACCCAACAATAGAAATGATGCCATGTGATAATAATGTTTTAGCTATTCCAAGAAAGCAAAGTGTTAAGGGTTGGCTCCTCAAGCACGTGAAAGCATTATACAGAGAACATCATTTTTGTGAGTGCTCAGTCCTCATGCTTTGATAGTTGTTAAACACTACAACATTAAGCAAATTGCATTTAGATTAAACTATAAAAATCAAGAGAAAAAACATAAAGTACTGATATGACCTTGAGAGTGCTCACATTTACTGAAAGCTAGTTCAAATCCCAATTTCAAATTCATAAATACTGTACCAACTAATTTTCGCAAGTGATTTATTTTTGCAACTTTTGTGAGAAGAACAACAACATAAATCGTCACAAATATGTAAAACTTAGATCTTTCCTATTTAATACATCAAGTAAATTTGAAAATCAAATAACTCAATTATTGTGAAGTGGACTAGAAAGGACTAAACGCAAAGAAAGTATCTGGGAAAATAATGTGGCTTACAGTAAGCCATGTTTTCCCAGACTAAACTATCAAAAAGTACACCTTAGACATATTTAGTGTAAACACATCAGTGTGAGAAAAACATGCCCATGTGTAATGGCGAATTCTAAAATGACGTGCTTCTTTCGCTTTGTAAACAACACCGTGATAAAATTCTCGATATATCTATACTTAGCGCAGACTCAGAGATATACATAATAATGGATGTTACAATATACCTCCCTCGTAAATCCACATGTATTGGAACCTATTTGCAAACGCTATGCCGATTTTATTGTTTTAAAAATTGCAATTGAAAAAAAGACTACAGAACTTTTATTCTTATTCGGATGCATAACAAAAAGAATTAATACACAAGAGCGCAGAGAAATCTACAAAATCAAAATAAAATAAAATTCTGCGAAAGTCCATTAATGCTTTTGGCGCATTTAAGTCATTTCAAAACCTGACGTCATACAAATAAAAATGCTAAAGCTGAATGTTCTTCCGTTACTTGAACCATTGAAATTCGTATAATATTATAATGGATTTTTGAGGTAGGTGTTGTTTTATTTTCTATTTTATTGCATTATTCGAATATTTACTGATTTCAGCAAGTCAACGTAGGGGCTCCTTAGTTACGAAATGTCAACTTTGGATTTGATGGTAGCTTACGAGAAAAACATGTAAATTAAAAATGGCAAATGTTGGGTTTGAGAATTAAAAGAATTAAGCACATTTTTTCTAGTGGTTGTTTACGAAATAATTCATGCAAGCTACAGATTTATTAGAATGTTTTAGCTTTATCTAACAGGGAGTAAAAAAGAACAGCCACACACACGGCATACCCACCCTTGCTTCAGTTTTTTAATGACCTTATTTGTCCTATTAGAATCGAAATAATTCATGGAAGCCATAGATTTGTTGTAAATTAACACATGGCCTGGGTCGTGATATTCGTTAATTTTATCCTGAGCGTTAGCCCAGGCCATGTGTAAATTTCCAATAAATCTATGGCTTTCATGAATTATTTCTTAAATTGAGTATTGTCTGGTTGTAGGACCATATTATTAGTTTTCAACAACAATATAGCAATACATGTTTAGTTATGTATTAAACTATAGAAGATAAAATCAATTTTAGTACCAATAAAGACAATATTCTACAAAACTATGCACAGAAACCAAAAATTACACAACATGAACCCCACCAAAAAACCAGGATTGAACTCCAGTGCTCCAGAATGGTAAGCTGGGCCTGCAACTGCATTTATTGTGTTGCTAATGGCTGATGAAATTTCAAATGGTTTTCATGGTAATGGAAGTATTAGCAAATATTTAAAGATATTTTTAAAATACATGGGTTGACTCTTTCTTTCTACATTTGTTATTTTTGAATTCTAATCTATTTATGAATTTCAGATCAATGCCAGTAAGTTCCCAATTGCAAACAGCAGATGTTGTTCATGTTGGAGGTTTTGAGTTGTCAGAAGGTACAAATTACAACACAAACTATTTATATGTTAATAATACAAAACAAAGGATGACAGGAATTGTCAAAAAAAGTTCAGTACAAAAGACCACATAAACTAACACAAGACTCCTCAGAAAAAAAAACCAGACATATAAACAAAGACAAAAACACATGGCCAAAACATGGTGAGGTTAAACCAGTTTTAGGTGCATGTAGACCCCCTTTCACCATTCCAGACAATATGTTGCAGAACTAAAACACACAACAAAAAATGAGCACAGTGCAGCTACCAACAGGACGACCACTAACAAGATAAATTTGAGTTTTGCCTAAGAATTTCATTCACACCTGAAATTTATTTTGATTATGCCTTTATCTCTCAGCTTCAACCATGCTCAAGGGGCTACAGCTAGCTTCAAATGAACTTTTAACATTTTATTGCCAATCACATTATATTTTTGAGCTAGAGTTACCGTCAAACATAGAAATATAATTATCATTAATGATATTTTAACAAAACATTTACAGTTAATCAACATACGGGATATATACCTTACTCCCACCTTCTTTCCAATTACTCTAAACCAGTGTAAACTGAACTATTTTCTCAATGAAAAGTCCTCTTGAACATTATAGAAAGATTTAGTATTCTGAAAATTCAGAATTAAAATGGTTTTATTCATTATTGGGAATCATTTATAATAGAGAAATTAATAAATACAATTCCTGAATATGTTGTTGCATAATATTTCTAGCAAAATTAAAATGTGAGTTGTACATTTTGCAGTGTTCATCATGTCAGTTTTTTTTTTGCAGTTTTACAAACATGATAAATTTACTAAATTTTCTGTACTTTTTATATATTTAATTTCTAGCTAAGTGAAACTATATATAAACACAATAGAAATACTTTATAAGTCTTGAACAAATAAACACAGAAAAAAAGAAAATCCTTTAAGAAAGGAAATTATTTTTGTAAATTTGTATGCATTTAAATGGTGAAAATTCCACATCAAATTAGATACAAAAAATTAAAACAGTATAATGCATGGATACTGATTGTTTCTTTAAATCATAGTTTGAAGGAAAATGTTATATAAACTTCAATTTGATATTTTTTTAAGGTTTAATAGGTAAAATAACAGATTTCAAGAAAATAAATCCAAGTGCAATGTCACCACCTTCAGACCCTAAGATACAGATGTTAGAAGGAGTTTACTATCATAGTTATTACCCTTTACAACCACAGGTTAGTATCAAGTATTACATCACTTAACCAATGGGTTTGTGGGAAGTTATATCTAACATCTACCTAAAGTTTGATTTAAAATCCAAAATAGGTGTTTATGTCAATGGTGACTGGGAAATAAAAATATGGTCACTTCGGTCTCCTTCTGACTGGCAGTAACACCTTTGTTAAAGTGGGCCTCCCTTTGGCTGTGTGGTATTTGCAAGTATGCAGCTAGGTTCCGGTCAGAATGGGAATGTTAAATCTGATACCTTGTCTAGAGAGATTGCCGTCCTGTATGTATGTTAAGAACCCTACCAACAGCTCTTTGAGGGGTCCATATGTGACCTGATGCATGGCAAAAATTTCTGTCCCTATCCAATATACCCTCATTTTCCAGTGGCCGTCCGAATTTCCCCAACCTTCATCCCAACAGCCTCTATGACATGGACCTTCCAATTGTATTTATTGTTGATTTGTTTTCATCCTGAAGATGAATGAAATATTTTCTTCTGGACATTAAGCAAACAACAATCAATCTATCAACCAAAACAAGTTTGGACTGTTTTGAGAAACTATTATTAGCCAAATATTCAGCAGATGTCTTTGATACAGTGTGTTGCCATTTTTGATAAATTTGTCGCCGCTTTTGAAGAATAATGCGTACACTTAGTTAGGTTAAGAAGGATGCTACAAGTTGAGCAGGATCTGCTTCAGGAGAACCTGAGATCACCCCCAGTTCTTGGTGGGGTTTGTGTTGATTAGTCTTTAGTTTTCTATGTTGTGTTTTGTGTACTGTTGTTTGTCTTTGGATCATTTTCTTTTTTTACCATGGTTTTATCAGTTTATATTCGACTTCTGAGTTTGGATGTCTCTTTGGTATCTTTCGCTTCTCTTTTAGTTGGCAGTTGTAGAGTAAATTGTTATATATCAGTCAGGGAAATAACTCTAAAGGGTTATTAGAGAAAATATCTTGTATGTGTTATTACAGATACTTTCATGAGTTGTCTACTCTTTATTCCTTAAATTTTCTAAATCTGTAGTAGCATATGTTTGTTATTTGTTAAATAAATCATAAATAATTCAATTTTTAGTGGCACTTGGGAATTCTTGAAACTTTGCCCAGAAACTAAATACATAGTCTTGATAACTAATTTTCGAATTAAATTAACACATTTTTCATCAACCATGGTAAAGCAATGAGATAAGGATTTTAAGGGATAATCTCAGCTGTAATAACAACCCCCTTTTTTTATAATCAATGCTTTTGAATGGGGACATATGTGATCTCTATCATACCTATAAAAGTAACAAAAAATACAAAAAATAATTACTTTTAGCCAATAGATTTTTTTATATTTTTCTGTTTTACAAAATATTATTTTATTTTTTTCTCAGATTGGTGACTTGAGGGTGACATTTGAATATGCTGGTATAAGTGGAGAATCTTTGCTGGGACAGCCTGATACTGTAAGTAACCAATTAAATACCACAAGATAGACAGCATCTATGTATTTGAACTAAGTAAAATTATGCATTTTCTGACTTGTTGTTCTCGAGTTATTGCACTTTAATCTATTCTAATTTTATGAAAATAAGGGTGATTGACATGTCATTGGTTCATTGTGTTGTTATTTATGGTAAATTAGAATTTTTTAAAATAAATATATTTAGTTAAGAAGCTGATTAGAGATCCAGATAGATAAGGGGAACACATTTTTTTTTTAAAATTGGTGGTATAAAACATGAAACCAGTGGTTTTTAATGTATATTTCTCCAGGTCAGCATAATAGCAAGACAGATAGACCAGAGACTTTTAAGCTACCAGACAGTAGCTGGAGATGTTTTAGAAATGTTGTATACTGGAAGACTTTCACCAAAGGTAAACTCATGCAAAGAATTTTGTGTTTATTTTTCAATTTATAATGTTTTTCTTGTACTGCAAGAACATGTGAGATAAGTCTCATGATTTGTTTTTGATTTCCAATTTTTGATTATTCTGTAAAAATTATGAATTATAAAACATTGTATATAATTTAATGTTTGAACATCAAGGAATAAATGAACTGTGTATCAGTGCATTAAAAATGTTTTGGATGGAGGGAAGTAATTTGAGTGAAGAAAAATTGGTAAATTGAGTTTCAAGACCTATTGATGCATGTATGCAAATGCATCACATGACAACTAACTCCTAAATATGGTAAAGTGGGAAATTGCATCAGGGTTTTTTTCCCTCTAATTTGGCTGTTTTAAAAACATATCGAAATCTATTCCCTCACATAAATTTCATCTTTAAGGAAATATTTATTGTCCTCCACACAACGCATGTACAATTTTTGCCAGATTTTTATCAAATTCATATCAAAGGTATATAACAGCAATGTCTCAGAAAATTTCGAAAATAAGTGCTGATCAAATATTTTTAGTGAGTTTCCCTTGAAAATATTAAATATATAGGAAATTGCTCTCAAGTCTTTAACTCTCTAGTTTATGATAGATAATTTTCAAAAGTTTTAAGAGCACAAAAATTTTTTTTTGGTTATTGTCCTTGGACAGAACAGATAAAATATGTGCAACACGGGCACATTGGAACTCTGTTCTTTTATTACTTGTTTGCCAGGTCAATGATTACAAAATGAAATCACCATAGGCAAAGCTTCACACAGTCAATACAATGTCGGATACAGAGAAAACAATGATATGAAATGAACCTTTGATCCATTTGTGTTTGTATTTTTCAGGAGATATTTGGTAAGGAACATCAACAAAATACATTTATAACCTGGGGTGTTAGATTTGGTGGATGGTTACTGATGTTTGTAGGATTTGGTTGTCTAACCAGTATCGTAACTACATTAGGTGAGTATGCACAATAAACAGGTATAGGGATGGAATAATTCATTGGTTTAAAAACTTTAAGATAGATGGCATGTATTATAAATCTGCAAGGGCAGATCTATGATACAAATTTTATGATGATTTCATCTTCTTGCTGATGGCCCCCATAGATGGTTGTTCAAAAGGGTGCTTTTTTTTAATGATTGGATTATTTCGGTGATAGTTTTAAACAAAACAAAATTTTCTTACTTATCTATTTATACTAGATTTTTATTTTTAATGAAACTGGGATGCTTTGTAGTTAAATGATTTGAATCTCAATGTTTGCCTTAATACTTAAACAAAATCAATTACTTTTTCAAAAGTATATTTACAACGATAGAAAAATAAGGAGATGATGATGTATGAGCGCCCATGAGGCAACTATCCATTTAAGTTTAAATGACATGGAAGTAAGCAATTATGGATGTGTTTCCAATGCAAAAAAAAGTTTTTATTTTATTTCAAAAATCAATTATACATTTCCAATTTTGGTTTCGAAAATGTATTTCACTGCTACCAGCATTTATTACTTTGATGCCAGTTTGGGGAGAATCTTAAGGAACTCATTTACTAGAGAGTAATATTTTTGCCATATGAAAATCAGAGTGCCCTGCATTCTCTCCCTAATCAGGATGAGGAGAGAAGGAATACAACTATTTGTCCTTTCAGGGGTTCAAATTAGCAGTGGTCCGAGGTCTGTGACCTTCCACTGTTGCAATAGGACTTTCGTTTTGGTTACTAGCTACGCCCGACGGACCTTCAATTTTAAAGGAAATAAAAATGATCTTTGTGGACCTTTGTAACCATTTGTATCGTCATTTTTAAGCCATATTATTATTGAAATTGAGATAAAAAAATGTTTCATCCCTGACCTTGCCGACGAGTGATAAAAGTTATTGTTAACCTTGTATTTCTTGAAAACACAAGGTTATAAATAGTTGCGAGAAGTCACGTGACAAATCATTTAGACATTTTTCGAACAAAATGAGTCGGTTTCCAGTTGGTGTCACGTCTTCCAAGAGAAAGCCTGGAGATAAGAACGGTCTTCAACCACAGGCACTTGTTTCTATCCGTGGGAATGTCAACTATCCATAAATATAGAAGGATATTCAACCTTCCCATGGATAGAAACAAGTGCCTGTGTCTTCATAAACTGGACCCCTGTTGTGTTCACTTATCGCTACACTGACAACAGGTACGGCCTAAATCCAATGGTCAGAATTCTGACCACGGGATTAAATAATTCGACGAGACTATTGCATCATGTGCTATGTTTATTATGTATCATACTGATAGGAAATCAAACGAAAAATTAGCACATTTATAACCCTACTGAGTTCTTAAGGGAATGAAAGATACCGGCTCATTTTGTCAAGAACATGATAACACGCTCATTGGTCATTTATCTGCGCTACTACCATGGGGTTAATTAACAGATACTTGTTTATTTTGCGGCATCGCAGTATTAACAATTGAGGTCAATTTCCTATCACTATAATTGGTCTATTTTATTAGCGAATCGTTGAATTTGTAAGACTCGTCCAATTAATGCCAATGTGACAATGGCTCCAACCCGTTCCTTCGGTGCGAAGCTATAGATGGAACGGCGAACCAGTTTAGTGTCTTCAGCGTCTTCAAAATATCTCACTAAAGACCAAAAATGCGATCGTGAAAAACGGGAACGGACATTTAAGCCCCACTGGAAAATCGATCGAACCGTGGCTATATTTTGATGAATCAACTGGTCTAATGTCATGCACATATTGCAAGAAGTTCCCCACCCATTCAGAAGATGAAAGTGCACTTGTAAGGGGAACACAAAATCTTAAAATAGACCCAATAAAAATATACGAAGTGACACCCAAGTATTTATCTTGTTTAAAGCAGTGGATCCATGAAAGTGACCCAAATTTTAAGTCTAGAGATTAATTGTCAGACACTAAACTTGGACAATGTATTCTCAAGCAGCAATGTAAGCCTGATCAGTTAAATAAATATAAGGTTCTTTTCACCACTGCATACAGTATTGCAAAAAAAGGGAAACCCTTCAGTGACGATGAATTTATTCTTGAAATCCAGTGCAAAAATGGTGTTGATGTGTAAGCAGTACTTCAATATTGAAGGTTGTAAACTGTTTATTCGCTTGATAGCCCATTATATGAGAAACAAAACATCACATGCAGTTCAAATATGATGAAACAAACTAACCTTACTCCAAAAGCACATTGATTTTGTATCTTATTGAGTTATGAATTATTTCATGTAAAAGAAGGACCTGGGATTTAGGTTGTGGACCTTTCAGTTTGGAGTGTCAAAGGTCCTGGACCTTCCAGTACCAAATGTTAATTTGAACCCCTGCCTTTTTTCTAGTTTATGCAAGCATACAATATGAAATAAAATATTCTTTAATATTGACTTAAGTTATTTCTAGCCAACTTTGCTTTGATTTATTTTTGCAATCTTCTCATTTTCTTGGTTTATTATTTTATATAAGGGAAGATCTAAGTTTCACATATATTCACGACAATTTAAATTCATGATATTTTTTTACTTGTAAATACATCGTTTGTGAAAATTAGTTGGTTCACAGAACCAGTACATAAATATTTTTGTACACACCATATTAAGTATTTGATAAAGATTAAAATATGAATACTTTTCAGTGGACTGGTTACCTATTATAAGAGAACTGGTAGCAGCTGGTGTAGGAATGATGAATCTAGCTTTTTCAATCAGCTTATCTTTGACCATCATTGCCATTGGGTGGATCACATACAGACCGCTGTTAGGGATGGCACTATTGGCAATGGCTGCCACACCTTTTATTATGTCAAAATTTAGGTCAAACAGAATGGATAGCAGACGAAATGTGTAATCACTGCTGCAAAACAGTATTATGATAATAGATGTATATTATTTAGCTACTGTTTGAGAGGTTTTATATTTTGAAAAGTTTTGTAATAGAGTAAATACAGTAAAACCTTGTTAGACTGTTTTTGAAGTAAAATTGTTCCATCACCTTTCCATTTTTACAAGATAGGAGTCCTTGACTTACAATTGAAATTTTTTTATTTTTTTTTTAAATTTAGTCAAATTTAGAAATAGATTATTTGGTTTTGTTCACTTTTTAGTAGGAAGCAATATTTTTATACATGTATAATAATTTGACAAGTCTAAATTTCTAAATTTTATTACAAAGTTGTATAAAGAAACAAGGGAACAAAGTAAATTTTAAAAAGTCAGAAAAATCTTTTTCTATAGTCAATAGCCTCACAGTTGTTTTGATTCATGTATCTTAAAATTTAAGGAGGGAAATTAGATAACAGAAATAATGTCAAGGTGCAGATATGCTGATATCAGTATGACTAGGTTTTACTGTAGAATTTAATGATTTGTTGAAGTGTGATATCTTTGTTAGCTACTGTGATAATCATTCCGATTTAATAATACCTACTTTTTACTATATAAATTAGAGTGTGCTTTATATATACATGTAGCTGTATCATGTTTTGAAGAACTGTTTTCTTATTTTGCAAGTATTAAACCTCATTCCAACACCAAATGTTTCATTTATTGCATGAGAAAAGCTAACAAAAATTTTGTTTTTCACCGCTTAATCAATGTTAGATATGTGGTGCAATATTTCTTTGTAACATAGTTTTGAATTAGAAAATTTCCATTATTTCAATATGAAATCTGTTAATACAGTATGTTGGAACTGTAAATGGGATTTTCATACCAAGGGTACAATCACATTCCTGTAATAATGTTTTCTTTTCTTTGTGATTTCAATGTAAACAGAATGTGGTATATATTTATTGACGTCTTTTTGTCAAGGCAAGACTTAGGCAGACTGTTTCCAGTGTTGATGTCTGCATCAACGGCAACAAAGTGTTAAAGATTGTGATTAGGTCAGTTTAATTTGAACAACTAATGGTTGGTCAATGATTTTTGGTATGCAGTTGAATTAGTATTGGCACACCTCATTTCCATGGAAATAATTTGGTCCTGTCCCCCAGTCATGGTGTATTGACTTTGAAAAGTTTTGCAAAATGTTACATGTTGTAGTGTTATTAATTTAACATTTTAGCAATTGAATTATACTATCAAAACTACAAACAGACAAGACATATCTCTGTGTCAATAGTGTATGTCTTGTTGGGTTGGTGTCTAAAGGACAAATATCCCTCTTCTTTATTTACACTTTTTTGTAATGATAATTGTCTATGATATACTGTCAAAGGAATAGTTCATGCCAAGACATTTTTTTCTCATTATTAAAGATTATTTATGGCTAAATTCTTTTCAATAGAACCATGCTACTTGTTCCTACCTACTTCAAATGAAACCGGATAAATTTTAGAATTATAAGTCTCCAGTTTTAGCATATATGGAATTTGATAGTGCTGTTTAGTAAGAACTACTCCCCATGTAGTTGTGTATCAGTTATATGAATGGAAAAGAAGATATGCTCGATGACTACAGAATCTTTTATAAGAACTATTATATTTAGTTTGTTTATATTAGGGATTTGTTTGTTCTTTTTTGTGCAATAATGATGAACTGCACAAATATTAAATTTATTTTTATTTATAACTTGTATGTGTATGCTGCACATTTAAGTACAATTTTTGTAAGCATGGTTACCTGTCTGTTAACAAATTAGGCTTTTGTTGGATTACTTGAAGTCTAATTAAAGAATCTGGAAAATGGCATTTGGCCCAAATCAAATCAAAATTTAAAAAATCATAATTTTTTAAAGAATAAAATTGAAAGTTATTAATTATTTTTTTTAACAAATATAGTGTTCCTCTGAAAGGAAAACTGTAATCATTTTTGAGATGAACTGTTTTCAAAGTTTGCCAAAGAATGGCAAAGCCATAATATTTATTCTGCATAGAACATAAGAGTCTTTTTTTAAATAATCAAGAGATCAATTATTGTCCTATTCTTTTAAGGACTAAAGTGCAAGATTGATCTTGTCAAAACATGATAAGCAAATAACTTAATTTTTGTTTCTTTGTACATAATTGTTCAAAATTGACAATGAAAATTTTTTAGAGAATTATTGGTTGTTTTCATTTTAGTTGTATCTGCAATGTGTAAATAAGTGCATTTTATTAATATTTTTTATTATAGATTTTGCATCACAATCCATACACAATTTTTCTACCGTATTATATATTTATTTGCATGTACAATTGATACATTTTTTTCTAATTACTAAATATTTGAAAATCATAGGTATCTTTCACTAACATGTTGAAAAAGAATGTATGACTCTTATTAATGTAATGGTTGAATTTAATCACATATTGTTAGAGTTATTTAATGGGAGACAACTCTGTAGTTCAACCACTGATGAAAGGGAGGTTACTCTATATTGCTATTAAAAGATTCATCATAAGCATTATTTCTTTTTGTTAGTCAATAGTTACTTCAAAAAAGAATATAATGCATTTTAGGTAATATCTTAGAAATAAGAAGAATATAAGTAAATGGATTGCATAATTCAAACTAAAAAATCAAGTAAACCTGTCAGTTTTATTCCTTCCAATACTAGTTCTTTAATTTGACCCTGCAGAAATAAACATGGCCTCAAAGATATTTTGAGCAAGCCGAGCAGGCTATCTAGATAGCATTTTGTTCTCTTTTCATTCCAACCTCAATTGGTATTTTAAAATCATCACATGTATGACATCTCCTGTAAAGTTATTTTATTTTTACAGATGAATTAAAGTCCTGCAATTGCCAACAGTTACATAGTTTCCTTAAAATGCAGTATAAAAAATGTAATTGGAATGAAATAAATGATTATAATTTGGTATGTCCATAGTCCTTTTCTGGCTTAACCTTTATCAAGGATTTGTATAGCGAGATATATAAATCCTTGCCTTTATCAAGAATGCTCGAAATCAAATGGCAAATTTATTTCCAAGAATTTCAGAAACTGGATTTTCATTTTTCACAGTCCAAGATCTCATTGGACACTGTTAATTATATATTGATACACAGGGAAACCTCACAGGTGAGAGAAAGTGAATATGTTAGGAAATTAGAGTTGTTTAGAATCCTTGTTTTATATTTCTCTCTCCACATACTGATATATTCTGCTCAACTAGAAATCAAACAATTCTTATTTTTCAAAATGAAATTGTTTTTATATAAGATTTCTACAATATTTAGTTAATTGCTTTCATACAGAAAACTATTCCCTTTTTGTATGTTACCTTTGTTTTGCTTTCACCCGTCCATGTTGTTACTTTTCATAATAAAAAGATAGTAATTAATGTCTGTTGTCTTATTTGTGTGCAAAGAACTTAAAAAAGAAACGACTACAATATATATAATATTTGTTTACTAGATATTTATTATAGAATCAATTACCAAATCTGCAGTGATTATATGGTTTGATATGGTTCTGTGGTGACTTTGTGTGCCAAAAGTTCTTGTCAAAATGAGAAGATTTATATTTATGAATTGAAAGAGATTTAAGTATACATCAGTGAGATAGCAAACAAACTACACAAAAACATAAGATATTGAGAGGACTACATATGGTTTGGAACAATAGATAGGTGTTTATACAATATGTCAAGCTTTGAATTGCCAGCTGGTGTCAATTAAAAAATGGGAAAAAATTTAGAAGAGACTATCAAAATCTGCCATGAACACTGAATTCTATTGACAAAAAACATTAAGATATGACAATAGCCAATCAATGATGAGATTCCTGAATTGGGACAGGCACAAGAACAATTAAAGTATGGATTTAAACTACTTTTTGTTAGATTCAACCCTCCCCCCCCCTCCCCCACCCCCCTTTTCAATTTTGATATTTTGACTTTTTAACAAAAGGTACATACAATAAAAATCAGTACAGGAAAAGAACGTAACAATCTTATAACTATACATGTATTCACCATGTAATATATAACAAAAACTTAAGTACAACTAAACAATAATAAACAATACCTTATCAAAGAATGTTGGCAGTTACTGAAAGCAAGCTCTATTAAGTACTCAACCTGCTGATCTAAAATCCTGTGGCACTACCTTATAGCTAATGTGAGACTTTTTCAAAGTTTACAGTGATTTATTGATCCTTTATCACTGCTATACATTTTATTTGTTTTGTCTAGAAATTACAGAAATTATCAACAGATTATACTAAACGATTTTTTAATATACTCTGAAACTACAAAGGTAAATCTTATATAAGAATTGTTGACTTTGTGTATCTTTATAACAAGTTTATGCAAAAGGAAGGCGACAATTTTTGATAGCTATGCTGGTGGGAAGTTTCCATTCCATTTTCGTGTACAATGAAATCTGACTAAAACAAAATGCTTTGGGACTTGCAGGTTTTGTTTGGCTTACAGCGTTTAAAGACTTAACAATATGAATTGAATAATATCAGAGACATATAATACAATTGTATTATATGTCTCTGATAATATCATACGAAAATTCAAACAACAATTGTTTATGCAGGGTTCAGTGTAGAGTCGATCACTGTTCTACGCATGGAATATTCCCCACTGAACATAAAGCAACCACTAATTAATCAAGCATGTGCGTAAACAATATCTAAAACAACTATAGCTATCATAGATACAGTATTTGATATGTGATAAGTTTTTTCCTTAATTTTATGTAATCAGAAAGGTAAGATATACTGGACAAACAGTTTTGCTGAGCGTGTTGCATTTATGTCCCGAAAGCGCGACATAGCGATCCTAGATTCCATTGTCGGTGGCGTCAACATTTATGTTCAGTTTGTGGTTAAAGTTATTTTAGACATCAATAACTTTGTCAACCTTCATGGAATTTTATGAAATGTGGACAGAACCTTTTTTATGACCAAAATACAGTAACCATTGCAAAATTTTTAAAATTTCGTATTTAACTGATAAACGGACTTGTTTTTTTATTTACAGGTAACATTCAGATTTAGTCTGAGATTAAAGCTTTTCAGTCATCAATAGCTTTCAAAATTGTCAGACTTTCATGGAATTTTATGAAATTTGGACAGAAGCTTGTTTATGACCAAAATACTGTTACAGTAATAGTATTCTGAGAATGAAATTTTGAAAATATCTATTTTCATTTTTCTGTATTTTACTGATAAATGGACTTAGTATGATTTTTTAGTTAGCAAGTAATTATAAATACCGTCTGGAGGTTAAAGTTTTTTACGTATACAGATCAATTACTTTGTCAAACCTTCATAAAATTTTATAAAACTTTGGCAGAAGTTTTTTAATGATTAAAAGATAAAGTCTGAAGCAAACTTTTGAAAATATATATTTTTTTTTTATTTTCAGTAATTTTTTGATAGATGGACTTAGTTTTTTATAGTTGACATTTACAGACAGTCTGGGATTAAATTGTTTTTTACATGATAAATTTGTAAACCTTCGTGGATTGTTATGAAACTTGGATAGAAGCTTATCGTCAAGACAAAAAATGTTGTATTTTACTGATAAATGGACTCACTTTTTAAGGTCAACATTACACTTTTACACTGACAGCACCGATACACAGGGTTCTACAGAACCTCTTATATACTCTTTTTTAAATCAGTCAGTGATACTGAATATAATATGTAGAAGTAGCAAATAGTAAGAATCACAGAAATCTGTAGTATCTTTACTTGTAATATTTTTTCAAGACATGCCCATGAATGGCAACGTTTATTACTTCTGAATAATCTTATCAAATGTTGACTCTGAAAACTCTGTCAACCAATCAGGTCTCCATTTTCTGTAAGTTTCTCAATTGTGATGAAGCTGCTGAATTCATTACTAAAGCAGGCCAATAGAATGAACTTCTTTTAGAAGGGGCAAAGTTTACTTTCAATAAGTGGCAATCTAATTAAATTTCACAAAATGACTCTTACACCTTTTGAGGGTCTGGGTGGGGCGTCCATCAATTCTGTATTCTTCATTTTTTTAAGCCATTTTTCTCTATTCTTTGAAAGTTTTGCCCATTATTCTCCATTCTTTATATTTTAGCACCACACATTCTCTATTCTTTTTTTTCTTTTGGCCTTTTTTCTCTCTACTCTTTATAATGGGCCCTTTTTCTGTAGTATTGGCCCATTGTTGTCTATTCTGTAGACCCCATCCAGACCCTCCCCTATCACCTAGCAAATATTTTTGTACCATTTAATAAATTTAAAAAAAAAACAGATCTTGCCAACGGTCACTTGTTATATTGCACTGACTTCTTTTTAAGTTCCAATTACTATTTAAAAATATGATTATTATTCCAAGCTTTACATTTGTATTAATTTGATCATTCGTTTCAGTTACTGTGCATAATAAATGACCAACACTTGGTAGTACCCATTTTGATGATCCATGGTCAAGTTAATTGATTTAGGATTTGGAGTTTTTCTCTTTATTCATTCTTGGTCATGATAGGTAAAATATTAGTATATAAAAATATACATATCTATCTCTCCTTTGTTGTTCGTTTACTTCAAAAAGGGTAGGAGGCATATGACTGTATTTTCACTGTCCATTTGTGTTGTATAGGTGTCTGAACATAGGTTGTTTTTAGTAACTATGCGTTGTTGGACCACACTATTTTGCATATTCCTTTCAAGGGATTCTATAAAAATTGAAACATGAATATTTTACTATAGAATATCGATATCCTGTACCGATGCGCCTGTCGTGTAAAGCAGTTGTGAAGTCAGAATTTTATAGTTTGCTTCATTTGATAAAATGAGTAATTCGATATCGACAGTTGCTGTGCCATGTTATTAAATCCCGTAAACCGATCCGCAGTTTTCGCTACTGGTTCTAGATGGTACATTAAAAAAGGATGATATAAAATACATTGTATAATTTTGTAATTTAGTCTCAACAAAAATTAATATTATGTTTAAATATTTATATCTCGTAAAACATGCTTTTAACTATGTTTGATTCCGGGAAATGATAAGTGTCTGCAGAATATATGTTCAATTCATTGATTATTGTTACTAAAATAGTTTCCAATTTCATCAAACGGCTGTCCCAACTTTTGGCCAAAAAGAATTTAAATTCTACCGGTCAATTGACTTAGTTGCTTATTTCTGACTGACTTTTAGACTATGCGCATTCTTTTAACAGGAAAACCCACAAATCGAACGCTTGGATAATACAATTTTCTAGATTAACACTGCTCCAGTCCGAATATACTATTTATAATATAATAGTTCATTTGATTTTAGTGGATTTACAAAGACTCCACATGGACGGTATCTACTATGTCATGTGTTGAGAACATTTCAAACGTATATAGATAGGTGTAGCTTAACTTTATGTATTACCGAGTTCTTCACACAATAAAGACCCATATCCCAACTCTTAAGGAAGGGGTTCGTTCTGTTCTGTTGTGTAGACTGTATAAATGCACAGTCACGCCGGTCGGTTTAATTTTGGATGTTATTAAAAATAAGCTCATTGATGGTGCTGAGACAATCAGAGGCTCTATGCAATTGAAAGAACCTGCTGGTGCATTGGGTGCCCGTTCTGCTGAGTGAGATGAAGACATGCTCGTTCACACCGGGTTTGTTTTGGGAAACTTAATGAAAGAAAGTTTTGGAAGAATACCGTGTTCTCTACATATAATAGATACCGCGATATAACTGTACATACACTATGTAAGAGGTCCTTTGTGGCATGTTGAATACTTTGATAGTAGAGAATTCGACATTTTTAATCTGAAAATTTGATACTTGAACGGTTTATGAGCTTTTTAAATATTCGTTTTGGATTTTGGATAAGAGATATAGAAAAGCTGTCAATCGCTTAATGCAAGGAAGAGTTTTGGCGCAACGTAAAACATAAGCAAACTGTTCATGGAAATTGCCTATACCAAATCAGGAATATGACAGTAATATTTTTTCTTCGTTCTAAATGTTTTCCTGCATTGCCAGTAATTTCGGACTCTACTATGTTGATACTTTTTTGGGAGTTTGTACATATTATTCCCCATCCTTACCATTTGGTCCATACCACTTCCGGAGGTCTGTAGTCCCAAAGTGTACCATCCTTCTAGTAGTAAATTTGTTAGCGAGGTCTATGATTTTTAACGTACATGTTTATAACTTCTCAACATAATTATTTTAGGTAAAATAAACATAGTAAACAAAGATGAAAAAAAATATTAAAAAATGTGTACCCCTTACATCTAGAAATTGACAATGAAGGTCGGTTGAAAACAAAACTTTACGACAAAAGAGGTGATTTCAGCTTCCCAATTGTGAACTTTTTATTTCTATGTAGCAACATTCCTGTAGCGTCTGCTTATGAAGTATATATCTCCCAGTTGATACGATATTCCAGAGCTTGTACTTCCTATGATTATTTCCTTAATAGATGTTTGCTGCTCACAAGGAAGCTATTAAACCAAAAGTTCCAAGTGGTGAAGTTGAAATCATCCCTTTGTAAATTTTACGGACACCATCACGAGTTGGTTGACCATCATGGAATATCTGTTTCACAGAAGACGACTGATATGTTCGAATTGTCTTTACCACAGTCCCGTCATCTTTTCCCCGAATGTGACCTACCGAACGAGCTAGACTTATCATCGGGTTTGTACTTACATTAGCAGCACGACAGGTGCCACATGTGAAGCAGGATTTGCTTACCCTTCCGGAGGACTTGAGATCACCCCCGGTTTTTGGTGGGATTCGTGTTGCTCAGTCTTTAGTTTTCTATGTTGTGTTTGGTGTAATGTTGTTTCTCTCTTTGTCTTTCTCTTTTGCCATGGCGTTGTCAGTTTATTTTCGACTTATGAGTTTGAATGTCCCTTTGGTATCTTTCGCCTCTCTTTTATAGTTACACAGCTTCCAATGCGTTTTCCCATATTTGGTGGCTTGAACTTTTGATTTTGAGCATTCCTTATGACTAATGAACTCAAGGTAAATTCTGAAAAAAAATCTGCAAATATGATATTGTCCTTTTTTATTCCCAAATCATAGCACAGTCTTAAAAGAGTAAACCAGGATGTCTTCGCTACAGACATTAATCTTTGTAACAAGAACTTTGCACTTATGATTGAGACGAAGCAGAGCAATAAATGTACTATTTAGTTACACCCTGTTTCATGTTTTTTTTTTGTCATGAAAACTTTGTTTATTCGTCTTAATTCTCCTCTTTTCAATTGTAAAGAAATAAAAACATCGTGCAATGTTTAACTTTGACCGTATGCTTAACCCGCAAATGTTTCTGATTATTTTGTTTCTTGTATTATTCTTCAATTTTGTAACTTATTTACGTCTGTGTAAAGTTTAAAGGGGGTGTTGTTATTATCCACTTTAAGCAAAGCAGTGGAAATATTGAAAATATGAGAAGTGATGGGTCTGTGAATTGTCAAGAAAAGTTAGGGAGACCAAAATGACAAGCCGTACGTAACTTGTTTTGATGGGAAAAAACTCAACCTTCTCTTAATCTACCTATATATTAAATGAGACATGGAAATTGAGGCATACATATTGAAAAGCACAATGTATTTAAAGGTTTATTTTGTCAATAAAATATATCACAGATATTAAAAGTTTGATGTAATAAAATTTGACATCATTAACAAAAATCTATGCTAAAACAATTGGCCAACAAAAAGACTATCACAATCTCAATCAAATGGTAATCCTATTTTAGTTTTATTTGCTTTACCAACTGGTAGTATTTAGCTAATGAAAAGAAACGACTGCACAATTTTGTTGAGGTCGTATTTAAGGCAAGAACGATTATTTTAGGCATTATTTTGTCAAAGCAGTTTCTTTTTGCCTGTATGCCCTTAAAGCAACAAGTAAAAATGAAACCGCTAATATAGAAGGTACTTTGATTCTTCGTGACATATAAGCTATAATATTTTTAGTAGCTTTTACACGCGTTTCCTATAGCCTTTTCAACATGTTCAAAAATTGAAACTGCTTCAAACATATTGGAAATAAAAAGTTATCATTAACAACTATACTCTCAAGTCTAGTTAGAAATCCAACTATAATTTAATCTTAAATTGTATGATTGTGTTTTACACAAAATCTGTAAGAGTTCTTGGTGAAAAAAATATGCTTAGAAAAAATACAATCATTCTTTAAAAAGCTCAAACTGTATGCTTTACAAAACTTAAACACAAAGTACGACACTCACAAAAAAATTATGAAAAGTCACTGAAATTGCCACTTTTCTCAATTCTCTATATAATATCTAGTGAAACCTATACAATTAAATGAAACATTCATAAGAAAATAAATAAAATGGATTACAAATGTATTTCTAACAATTATATTGCAGAGAAGAAGGAATAATACTGTTTTCAAATAGGGTACTATGATTATTATTGCCTTTGCTAAATAATAATCAAAAATATATAATATGATTGATAAAAAAATATTTTCACAAACACATATTTATTGAGCAAACAAAACAAACTCCACTAATAAACCGTGGATAATGTGAACATACGTTTACATATAGACCAAGTTTATACATCAAGAGTCCTCAGTTCCACGTTACATTGTATACGTATTATAATAGAAACTGAATATGTTTGGTTGTATTTAGCCTGTAAAACAATAAAAAAGATGAGTCAGAAAGAATTTAGAAAAATATAATACTAGAGTATTCTGAGAGAGTAACATGCACTTTTACTCAAACTCTTCCAAGAGAGTAACATGCACTGTTATTCAAACTATTCCAAAAAAGGATAACATGCATTTGTTTTATATCTATGTATCAAAAACAATGAGGGCATATCACACTTTTTTAAACCTTTCTCTTTTGCACCATTATGAAGTACTGTATTTTGCTAATCATCTATAATACAAATTTCATTAATAATATTTGCCCATATCCTACGATGATCTAAATTGACAATTCAGCTACGTTATCAATAATTAATATAAGAACAGTTTTGACAGCACCATCTCATCAATAAAAGTATTTGGAAAAGTACGAAAATAAAAGTGATCAGTAAGAACCTTGATATTTTCTACCATTATTACAAAATTTAACAAACAAAAAATAAGAGAAAATATAAGTCCTAACCTGGGACATAATATATTGACTAGTCCCAAGTCTTAACTTATTTTTGTACAAACTGATGCGTTGCATTCCCATTCAATGCTGAATATATTTTTGTCGTATGTTATCATATTAATGTATAAATTATGCAGAACCTACAATGTTAGTGTGTACATGTAAATTATACGGGGACAAATATTCTTAAACGGAAGGGAGATGTAAGATAGAGAATGGGTCTGTATTGGCAATTTGAGTCGTACGTGTCACGTATCATAACAGAACAATCACAGAAAGTTATGAGAAATTATTTTAGAGAACAACTCCAATTGATAGGATTGTAGCGTAGTTTCTCTCTGTCTATCCTGTCTTCTAAGAATTTGTTTTGCTTTCTCGTTTCCCAATGATCTTCCATAAACTGAAAAGAAAATATAAAAACACATTTATAATTACCGATACAAAAAACATCATTATGAGTTATTTTGAATTTTCCATGTCTTAACAAACAGTATGTTTCATATAACCCTTCCATTTTCTTATTTTAAACGAAAAAAAAAGAAAAAATCACGCATTTTGCATCGCTCAAAATATGGTCGTTCCTTATAGCGATGAAATGTAAAATGTTACCTATAGTATATGGTCTCATTATGTGCCACTCTAGAAGCTAAAGACTGAACAAAACGTTTGAATGTTCATGGTTTTGAATGTTTGATTACTTGCCAATTACCTTTTCAACTATTGCGTACGAATTGCCAATCATACGTCCAACTATTGCATGTGAAAAAGCCCAGTGTAATTCATAGCTGTTGTGACATTGACATATACATGTACCCATTGAGTTTACATGGACATGTATCCATTACACGCGTATTATGCACATTGTACATAGATCTTATAGAAATCAATTGCTTAATGTAGACCAAAATGAAAAATGATACCAATTATCTATTTAATCACGTTACTAATATTTTTTTAAATTATCAAGATAAAATGCAGAATGGAACAGGAATAAAGTCCTTTTCGTTGCTAATAACTTATTAATTCCATTCCGAAGATTTCTAAATGTAAAAATTGAATGCTATCAGCGATTAATGCAAAATGCGATCGCCAATTGCTTTTATTTCGAATGAATTTGAAAAAAACCAGAATTCACATTCAATTCTGTAACATTATCTTCGCCCTTCTTTCTACAAGTTATGCATTGTACATACCGTTTTATTTTGATTTCTGTATTGTTGTAAATACAAGTGTTTGTTGATATATTTGTCTACGTCTTCTTTTCTACACTTGTTATCGTAGGCTATAGACATAGCACTCTCCTGTGTTTTCTCTCTGTTAAATTTATTTTTTTGAAAGTCTTTATCTTGCATTTGCTGTTTCAGTGTTTCTCTAAAATGCTTCCTGAAAAAAGTAATAAGCATTACATTATGATGTTTAGAAACGAATTATATTGGAAAATAAATATTCACTTCAACCATGATATTGTCTTGTTTTCTTTGACTTATAGTTTTTGGTTGCCCTGTTCGTATCTTCTCCCTCTTTAGCTACTAGCTCTGCTATACCAAACAGAAGCTAGATTTTGGAAACAGAGGCACTTAAACTCGAATTCAAGAGTAAATGATTCATATGTGTGTTGGCTAAATGTCCAGTTGTAATTATTTAATGCATATTCAAGATCTAGACGGACGATAAAAAAAATACATGTACATAAAGAATGGAATATGTTCTATAAAGTTGGTCGACCTGGATAAAGCACAGGACATTTGGTATGTTGATAAAAACAGATATTTTGTCTCACAACAAGCCACCTACATGTCAATCAAAGAGTTGTTCAAACATTTCTACAACGTGCAAAGAACTTGCTCCTAGTACGGGCGTTCGATAACGGTCTCATTCCAAACGAACGTGCGGCGAATATTTGTACACCCTTAGCAACAAACGGACGCCCCCATCAATCCATCAATGGGGGGTCTCTCTGTCGATAATTGTTATATTTATATACATCGAAGTTACCCTTAGAATTTGCGACAAAAAGCGAAATAAGATATATACATATACATATAATACATGTATATAAAATAGAGAAAGAGTTTCATATGGCACCACCACGGACTAAATTGTAATATGCTATTTTGTTCCTTCAGTATTATAAGGGTGCCAAATGGAACTCTTGTCATAAATGTTTCTTGTTACAATGTACTACTATATTCAATTTCATCTTCATTTGTTTCATTTACATACATCAATTTTATATGCGATCGACTAAAAAAACAAATTGTGTTTTTTCAGTCGATCGCATATAAAATCAACTACGTGGCTAAACATTGTTATCTAAAGATAATATTTATGTTATTCTTATGTTTGCACTTAAAATATGCTTTATGGAATTAGAAATTGTCGATCTTCATTCAACTCTGCAGACGTTTAACCCTTTATACTGTCTAAACCGGAACTTGATACTGATATGCAAGCTTCCAATGTTTTTCGATTGATCAGATATCGTTTCCTGTTAAAAGCGCTAAATGAATCGATTTTCAACTAATATGCATTGTAACGTTATGTATTAAAAATGTTTTCAAGTCTTGTGATATAATCCGATGAAATTCTTTAGAAATCTAAGGATAATGACAAGTGTCAAGTAAACAAGTACAATCTTAATTTTCAACGATTAAATCAGAGTTTATAAAATAAAGATATGAAATCTTGTTGAATACGCAATAACCTAAAAGGGAAAAAATATCTTAAACTATGATTTATATTATAGTTGATTTTTTTTCCATAGTCTTGGTTCCTGTTGGAAGAACAAAATACGATATCAAACTCTCGTCTGCACAACAGTGGCTGATTTTCCTAATTTGTTTGAGGTTAAACGGCCTTACAAATTAATTAACGACAATCACAGACCTTAATACCAAATTACACTTTAATACTGGTTCTCTGTAACTATTTAAACTTTTATATAGGGAGTGTGGCACGCATGGTCATGGATTTTCTTCAAACTTCACACACTTACTAGTCTTGATGAAACAAACAAAAAATGGCAAAATTTTGGTTGCTAAGCATATCGGTTGCCATAGCAACCGATGACCAGTTTTACCTCTTCTGGATATCTATGATTTTAAGCTGAAAATGGCTATTTTCAACATAATTTTTCATAATAAATGATTAAAAGAAAGAATATTTTTTTATGATTTTATCAAATATATGCATTTTATTAATGTAATTTAATAACTGATATTTTCATATTCATTTTCAATCATAATCACATATACCCCTCTTTTTATGTGGTTTGCATTAGGTTAAAAATACCCTTTTGAGGTCATTTTTGAATGCTCACCATAATTTTTTGCGGACACCTGAGTTAAAGTCAACCATCAATTCATAAATACCATAGTCTTATCTTATCAATGATGCGAAAAAGTAATGGGGAAGTATGTCTCATTTTTTTGTTACCATGGATACAAAATGCTTAGTTTTCATTTTTTCAGAAAAAAATTTTTTTTTAAAATTTTTGAAAAAAAGTGTTTTAAAACCTAATTCTGCAGTCAGAAAAAAATAAATAAATATACAATTTGTAGAAATGATTGTAATCATCAAAATTTGAAACATATTCATACATAACGGTATTATATTTTTAACTGTGTTGCTATGGAAACAATTTCATGATGATACACAAGTTTAAAACAATTTTGAAAAAGTTTCAGTTAGTTTCTTAAATGTGCACAAAAGTAGGAAAACGAAAACACTTATTAAGTTTCACTGTATACACACATGTGTATATATAAATAATTTTGCTGGTATAGTATATCGATAATGGTGTTAACACTTGAATGAAACAAATACAATTTCTCTAATCTGGATAAAAGTGCTGATTATGAAGAAATTTCAGTCTGTTTTCATGATCATGAAAAATGTACAAGAAAAACAATGACTAAATCTAGAAAAAACAAATAAAATCATTTAAAAATTATATATTCAATTATGCAATATTTGCCATTGAATGTGTTGCCATGGAAACAAGCAGTCCATTTGCAAAAATACTGATAAGTGCTAATTTTTACAAATTCGTTTAATGAACTTCGATACATATAGCAAAGAGTGTATACAGTTTTGTAAAAAAGAAATGATCGATTAGTTGTGGTTTGCTTTATGTCCAGTGTCAAACATCTCATGCATATTTCAGAAGAGAACAAAACCAATAAATTTAATAGGAACATTGTAGGTCCCGTGCTAGTCTACTGACCAAAAATTAATTAAAAGTCAATAATTTGAAACAATTCAACACAATAAAAAATAGAACCAAAAGAGTCAGACGTTGATCCTCTAAATAAATGATAATTGACCATCTAATTTTCTATAAAGAAAGAAATACCTTTATTATGAGCTGTTTATTTTTCTTATTCATTCTTAAACTCAATGTTGAAATGGCAAAGCATGTATACGTTTTGAATAATATTGTTTTTATACATGTAGCTATACGTTTTGAATAATATTGTTTTATTGGATGATGAGTATCTACATGAAGAACATTTTTATAAAAGTTATAAAAAATCAAAAAAATCAAAAATGACCTTCAATAGGTGTAAGCTGGGATGAAGGCAGACAGTTTGAAATATCACTAGAAATCGGGATCAATTGGACAAGGACAGAAATTTCAATAGATCAACTAGGGAGCCCCTAAAAAAAAAAAGGCCGTAACAAGCAAGGGCGGGTACGGTCGGCCGTCGACCCAATGGTCCCTGCTATTCATCCGACACATTTCTTGTTTGACATTCTGGCCGGGGAGGAATTTTCGAGATTTTCCAAAAAGTTCTGTTTCCCTAAGAGGATCCACGGAAAATCGGTCAGCGGGTGACTGCTGGTCTTACAACGATCAGCAGGGGGAAAATATACCATCTAGACAATTGTCATATCACTATATTTACATTAGCAAAAGGCATTAGATTATTGAAATTTGAGAAAATAACAGTAATCTTAATGGATTTTTAGCAGCAAATTAAAAAATATTGACAATATGATAACTCTTTACACAGGGTAACTTTAAAAGAATTAAATGCATAATGCATGTACATATACTTTGATTTCCACTGAAAGCCCATTACAGAAAGATGTTTCTCAAAATTAGTATATAATTGTCTTTCTTTAAACAAACAAAAATTAGATTTTACTTTGAAGCAGAAGTCTATGTTTATAACATATTATACATGTGACTTTTTGTCCGCGACTTTTTGTCTGTGACTTTTTGTCTGTGACTTTCTGTCCTACATTCTGACCGTTATCATGACCAGGAAAAATGACTTTATACCTATTTAAATGTAATAGGCTTTGCATCAAATTTAAAGAAACACTTAGATTGAACCATTAATTTTATCAAACAAGAAAATATAAAATGCTTTACAAACTTTCGGGAACATTTAAAACTAAGACAAGGCTCTGGTAACCCTCAAGTTATGTCCGCGAGTATGTTTACTTATATTTTATGAAAATATTTTAAACTACAAAGATATCGTGCATGCAGGGGCTCGGGCATACCTCAAGTAGTCTGCGAAATGTGTATTTGTTTTTATGAAAATATTAAAATCTGCCAAGATATCCTACACAAGGCTCGCACATGCCTTAAGTAGTACGTGGAAACAACTATTTACTGTTAGAAAATATTAAAAAAACAAACTATATTGGATTTATTAACGTACATGTATGTATGGCCTACTTCAAACACACCTTTTGAGTAACTTTATATTTGTGATCAAACGTGTCAAATTATAACCGGTAAAATACAACATAATTTACAACACAAATACAATACACTACTCAATACCATAAAAAGTTTAAATAATTCGGTGCTCGTCATAGTACCCTAAACTGTTTTTCCCAGTTTTTTACCATCCAATCTTAATTCTATTTTTTTTTTATAAATTTAAAGAAAATCCAATAAGATATAAATAAGTATTAGGTAGTACAACGACCAGGACATAGTCAACGTTGGTCAGGTCAAGTTTTTTTTACCAAAAACATATATTTTTCCTGTTTTTTTTTTACTATTTTAATAATATAAAATAACACAGAAATTTTCATCGGTCAGGTCATTGCTATTGTTGGTCAGGTTATTGTCAACGTTAGAAAGGTCACGTTATCTGAATATTTTATATTTTTTTCTATATTGTTTTATTAATTTATGTATTAAATGATTAAACTTTATTATATTTCAAATTTAACATACACCTTTTAAGAAATAAAAAAGTTATTAGCATTTTCATTTGGTCCTGGCATTGTCAGCGTTGGTCAGGTCACGTTTAATAAAGATTTTAAAAAGTTTTCTATATTTTTTTTCTTATATTTATGTATTGAATGGTCTAAATTTATAACAATTTAAATTTGACATAAATCCTTTGAGAAATAAA